CTCGATCCCAGGACCCTGGGATCATGACCTGAGCCGAAGGCAGACGCTTAACGACTGAGCCACCCAGGCGCCCCCCCCATTATTCTTTTTTTAATATGTTCCTGTTATTTGATTTTTTTTTCTTTGTTTGCACAGCAACATGTTCCAGGCTCATCTCATTCTTTTCCTTTTCCATCCCTGGATGTAGTTATTTTTCCAAGGAACATTATTTTGTTCTGTGTGTGTTCATTTTTTTAATTTTATTTTTTTAAAGATTTTATTTATTTGACAGAGAGAGACACAGTGAGAGAGGGAATATCAGCAGGGGGAGAGGGAGAAGCAGGCTTCCCTCTGAGCAGGGAGCCCGATGCAGGGCTCGATCCCAGGACCCTGGGAGCATGACCTGAGCTGAAGGCAGACGCTTAACGACTGAGCCACCCAGGCGCCCCTGTTCATTTGTTTTAAAGTGGAAAATCACTAGGGCGCCTGGGTAGCACAGTTGGTTAAGCATCTGACTCTTGATTTTGGATCAGGTCACTATATCAGGGTCAGGGAATCGAGCCTTGCATTGGGCTCCCCGCTCAGCATGGAGTCTGCTTAAGATTCTTTCTCTCTGCCCCTTCCCCCAGCTTGCTTACACATGCGTGTGTGCTCTCTCTCAAATATACTTTAAAAAAAAAAAAAAGTAAAGTGGAAAATGACCTTTAGAAACCAAAATCTGAGCACAAAGTATCCTCATTACTATTGACGTGTCACTTTTTCCAGGCCCTAATGCACAAAACTAGAGTGTGTATGTGACCTATCCATGATGTTTATGTACGAATGTATGCATGTGTATTTGTGTTCGTGTATAATACATCCTTCTACACACATATATATCTGTATTACTGTATCTCTATATGCATTGAAGACCATGGGTCCACACAGGTATTTTCAATTCTAGTCTACCACCGTAGGATCCATTCTGATTTTTTCCCCTTTCCCTCTTTGTAACTCTTTTCTCCCACAGTGAGAGTCCTGGCTTTCATTATTCTCATGACATACATTTATTTGGTCAGTTCCCCTCTATGTAAGTAATCTCAGGCTGGCATCCTTTGCTGCTTCCCTCACCCTCCCCACTCAGTGTTGACACCTTCCTCATCTGCCTGGGCTCTGTTACGGAATGAATTTTTGTGTTTTGTTTTGAAGCCCTAACCCTCAGTATGATGGTATTAGGAAATGGGGCCTTTGGGAGATAATTGGGTTTAGATGAGGTCATGAGGGTGGAGCCACCATGATGAGATTAGTGCCCTTATAAGACGAAATACCAAAGCTGCTTCTCTTTGCAATATGAGGGTACAATGAGGACGTGGCTATCTGCAAGCCTGGGAGAGGGCTCTCAACAAGCGCCAAATTCCCTGGTGTCTTGATCTTGTACTTCTCAGCCATCAGAACCATAGGAAATGAGTGTTGTTTAAGCCCCCCAGTCTATGGTGTTCTGTTAGAGCAGCCTGAGCAGTCTGAGGCAGGCTCTGGAACCCTATGCTGACTTGCCACACCCCCTCCCCCTTAGATTTCTCCTCATCCCTCTTGAGATCTGACATCCCTGTGGGGTGGCTGTCCTCCTGGTGGATGCCCTCCTTCCTCACTCTGCTGGGTGTCTCACCTCTACCCCAGGCCACTGTGGTTCTCCCACACTTGCATCAATGCCTCCCACCTTACTCAGCCCTCTAATTGGCTGAATTTTTCATGAAGGGGAAGAAGAGTGGTAAACCAGAGAGGGCGTGGGGCAGAGGCTTAGAAATGCAGTAATAGCCCTTGAGGCACTTCTAGTGCCAACGGCACAGTCCAGTTTGAAAATAAATGAAGTAGCAAAATGGACAAATTGTGTATCTTTAGAGCAATGTTCAGCAAACTATGGCCCATGGATCAAATCTAACCTGTGGCGTGTTTTGGTACAGTTTATGAGTTAAGAATGGATTTTACATAATTTAAGCATTGTGAAAAATAAAATACACAGTATAATATGCAACAGACCATATATGGCCTGCAAAACCTGAAATATATGCCATCTGGTCCTTCTGACCTCTTCTTTAGAGGAGGATTCTTTCTTTTTTTTTTTTTTTTTAAAGATTTTATTTATTTATTTGACACAGAGACACATCGAGAGAGGGAACACAAGCAGGGGGAGTGAGAGACTGAGAAGCAGGCTTCTCACTGAGCAGGGAGCCCGATACGGGGCTCGATCCCAGAACCCTGGGACCAGGACCTGAGCCGAAGGCAGACGCTTAAGGACTGAGCCACCCAGGAGCCCTGAGGATTATTATTTCTTAAACATCATTTCTTCTTTTTTTTAAGATTTTATTTATTTATTTGACAGAGAGAGACACAGTGAGACAGGGAACACAAGCAGGGGGAGTGGGAGAGGGAGAAGCAGGCTTCCCGCGGAGCAGGGAGTCGGATGTGGGGCTCGATCGCAGGACCCTGGGATCATGACCTGAGCCGAAGGCAGACGCTTAACGACTGAGCCACCCAGGCGCCCCTTAAACATCATTTCTTAAAACTAGACTTTTGACTCTGGGGCACCTGGGTAGCTCAGTCTGTTAAGTGTCTAGCTCTTGATCTGGGCTCATGTCATGCTCTCAGGGTCATGAGATCAAGCCCCACATCTGGCACCGCACTGAGCATGGAGCCTGCTTAAGATTCTGTTTCTCTCCCTCTCTCTCTGCCCCTCCCCCTGCCCATGCCCTCTCATGTTCTCTCTCTTTAAAAAAAAAATAACTTTTGACTCAAGAGTTTGAGGATCTATTCCTTGGAAAAGACTCAGGTTCTTGCCAGTTAAGTTCAGGTCCATATGCTTTGAAAAGGAACTAGCCAGAAAATAATCTTAAGATTTTCTAAGGCAAGTTAAGAGGCCTAATCAAGATTCACCCCTGAACACATGGTATGATCTCTGTACTTAGATAATACTCAAGTAGATTGCCTGCCTTCTGTACTTAGGTGATTCCAAGTTGCTGGCCTGTCTCTGCTGTCTGCACTTAAAAGGGAGTCAGAGTGCACAGCACCTCTGTTACAATGCTAAGCATATTTTAGCTTCATATGAGGATCGTTTCTCTATGTCTTCATCCCCTGCTGTACTTCCGGTGCCTGGTGGACAGGGAATGGACTGTGTTTTACTCTCGGTTGCTTATACCAAGAGATTTGTGTTTGTAGTGAATTAGACTAGCCAGTTCTTTCATATCTGGTATTCATACATCACTAGACTGTTTTATTTTTTTTTTTAATTTTTAAAATTGGCAAGAAGTTTTTTTCTCCTGTTCCTTTTGTTTTGTGTAATCCTGGTCTCCTTATCAAAATCCTGTATATCAAATGACAATACTTTATTGTAAGTAAAATACAGCATCATTGTAACGCTATCTCAGAAGAAAGAATATTTCCCTGGCTCATCCATTTACTGTTCAAATAGCAGTGCTTGACCTGTGATAGTCACTGCAGCCCTCCGTGTGTTTCCATAGTATTCTCTATTTATCATGAGCAAGTATAATGTAGTTTTTGTTTTTTGTGTTTTTTTGACAGCCATATCTCTTTTGGAGGGGATAGGGCACTGGCGGTGGGCCCGGGACACCCCTACCGCGCCGCACGTTCGTTGGCGCTGCTTCCTGAGCCCTGTGGCTTCATCACAGTAGGCAGCTCAGGAAGGCTGGAGAAGGGCTCCATGCACAGGACCTTGCACCATTCATGTGAATGGGGAGAGCTGCTTAGGAGACCAGGCCCACAGGAGCTGGGGCCTGCGGCCACACCGTCCAGCTGGTGAAGCCACACTCTCCCACTGTCTTGCCGTCATCCAGAAGCTGGTCATCCTTGCACAGCTGCTGCTCATTGGGCGGCCACTTGAGGATGCCCTGGAGGATGCGCTTCAGCCTGAACATGGTGCTCCACTCCTTGGTGTCCGTGAAGATGGTGGTCCTGTGGTTCCGGATTATGAGGAACCTGTCCTGGGGGTGGTGGGCTGCCCACCCCCTCCCAGTGTGGTCTGCTGCTCCCAGCCCCCGCCCAGCCAGTACAATGTTGTTTTAATGCTCCCCTGATCATTCCTGTTTACTTGCCTGTGCCCTACTTGGGGTGGGGGGTGAGGGGCCGAGAAGGTATCTTGTTTATGGTTGTATTCCCAGTACCTGACACATTACAGAACTCAGAAAAGCTATATTGAATGAATGAGAGAGAGAGTGAATGAATGTAGAAACCATGCTAGGGTCAAGGGATGCAAAGATGAATAAGCCACTGTCTTAGGCTGCCTTGAATCCTCTTGCCAAAATATTTTAAAGAACAAGTGCATGATGTACGACAGGCCAGCATTAGATTGTGCTGATTCAAAGAACCTGAAGTTGGGGACATGTGTGGGAGGAAATAGGGGGCTTTAGGAAATGGAAGGTGGGCTGCGTGAGCAAAATGGTTCTGGGAGCAACCCCAGGAACATCCAGGTTGGAGTAGCTGCAGGAAGCGTTAGGATAGAGAATTGGGGCTCAGCAATGGGGAAAAGTACACATTTAAAAATGCGTCATTGGGGGCGCCTGGGTGGCTCAGTCGTTAAGCGTCTGCCTTCGGCTCAGGTCCTGGGATCGAGCCCCGCATCGGGCTCCCTGCTCAGCGGGAAGCCTGCTTCCCCCTCTCCCAGTCCCCCTGCTTGTGTTCCCTCTGTCGCTGTGTCTCTCTCTGTCACATAAATAAATAAATAAAAGTCTAAAAAAAATAAAAAAATAAAATAAATATGCATCATTGCCCAAAAAAAAGTCAAGAATAAAAAATATGTTCCAAAACCTTCATGTTACAGTGACAGTGAAAAGTATTCTCTGACCTGATCTAAATCTTACATAGAATGATTTCCTTTTTGATCTATTCACTGCTATTGTTGGGGGGGGACAGTGACTTTAGACCATTTATTGAAGAGGAACAGAGAGATCCTTGGCCGTTTTGCCTGTTTGATTATGTGGTTTTCATCAGTGAGAGGTAATTTTTTTGTGTGTTTTGTTTTTAATCACCAGGGAGCCTAAAGAAAGAGGTATGCCCATGGATATTTCTCTAGCGCCCTGCTCACTCCGGGTGAAGACCCCGGAAGGCTGCACAGAGCTCCAGCTTCCAGCAGAGGTCAGGCTCGTGCCTTCCTCCTGCCGCGGGCTGCAGTACGTCCCGGGAGATGGACTGCACCTGCGGGTGCAGGTGCAGGCAGAACCCAACGACACCAGTGAGTGATCTCAGTGCTCCTGCTCCTGCATTTAGTTTTTCATTGTAGATCAAAGGTGATTTTTCCTTTGAAAAGTTGACCTTTTCCCAGGTGGAAAAGACTGTTCAGCAGCACCATGGAAAGAGCTGGTCAGAAGGTTCTTTGTCAGCTCTGCCACTTAGCTTTGCAGTTGAGCATGCCACCTAACCTTTTGGAGCTTTGTTCCGTAGGCTGGGGGGGCGGGGTCGGGGGGGGTGAAGCAGTTAGTGTTTTTTTTCCCTCCTAGTAGATTTTATTTTTTAGAGCAGTTTTAGGTTCACAGCAAAATTAGCAGAAGACACAGAGATTTCCCATATAACCCCTGCTTTGTTTCTTTAACTGTAAAATTACCAAGCTCACAGGGTTGATAGGAAGATGAAATCAGATGGCAGTTGTACAAGACCTGGTGGATTTTAAAGCATTACATAGAAATTCATCCATTCAACAAACACTGCCCTACACTGTGTGTTAGGCTTTGATCTAGGTGCTAGGGATACAGAAGTGAAAAGGCTGGGAAGGCCTCTACCTTTAGGGAGCTTATGTTCTCGTGGGTGGGAACAGATAATGAACACATAAGTTGCTTGGATACAGAAAAAAGTGCTCTGGTCAAAGAGGAGGAGAGTAATGGGATAAGGAGTGACTAGGGTGAAAGGTGCTCAGGGAAGGCTTCCCTCTGAGGAGGGGTAATATGTAGCCAGAGAACTGAATGCTGGAAATGATCCAATCCATGCAGAGACATTTCCAAAGAGAACAGTATATATACAGATCCTGAAATTGAGTTTGATGCATAATTTGATTTTGATTATTGCTATGCCTGTTATATTTCTAGTATTTTGTTATTGCCACATTGATTCAGTAAGATGGTAGAAATGTTTCTCAGAATAACTTATTGAATAAAATTATTGGCTCATTGCATCTCTTCACATGTAAGTAATGTGCTTCACAGGATGAAAAATGATGTGAAAGGGAAACAGGCTGTAACAGACCGTGAGATGCTCCTTATCAGGAGAGGATTATGATTCTTTCAACTGCACCCTGAGGCTTTGTGGCTGCCTCATCTGTACTAGGCCGTTCATTTGAGCTGCGTGGAGCCTCGAGGTGGGGTCAGCAGGGTGGATTTGAAGAGCCATGTAGGAGATGTGGAGCATTCCCCTGAGTTCTTGCTGCTTTATTCATTGGAGAGTAATTTTTGCTCAAGTCCTAAATTAGTGAATCACTAGTCTTGAGTTGGGCAGAGTTGGATTTAGGAACAAGGTGTAAGGAACCGAAATGTCATGGAGCTTAAGTGACATATCCACATGCTAAGAATGACTACTGTAATAACCATGAAAAGAAGAGTGGGGTCACCAAGATGGGAAATAGACTGACAACGGAAACTGGGCAAAGGCGGGCACGAAAGCCACACTGGGGTGTTTTCAGATCTGCCAGTTTTCTGGATTTGGATTTTAGGTCCCATACTGAGGAGGTGGTATGGAGGCCTTCTAGAGACACAGTTGGTTTGTCGCCTGCCCGTCTTCTGTAACAGTTAATAAACAGCAAAACTTGAACTAGTAAAGAAAATTTAAATCAGCAAGCATGATTGTTTCACTGTAACTGTAGGACACAATAAGTTGACTGCTGAAATGTTGGTTTGCATATTGCTTGCATTCCATTGGTCTGCTGTGGCTTTACACTTTTAAAACATTTTACTCAAATATCTGAAGAGGAAGACTTTCAAAGCCCTGTTCTGCAGTGCGTGAAAGGGTATGCAAAATAGATCTCAGTACTTAATAGCTTTAGTGCTTTCCACATAATAGGTGGTGAGTAAATATTTGCTGAATGAATAAATACCAGATTGTGATGCATACTGATGCTGACTTGAATCAAAATGTAGTGTAGGAAGCGACTTGACATTTTTAGCATTCAGTTGTATTTTGAGGTTTTTAAGAAGTTGACTTTTCAACTATAAATGTTCTTTTAAGGACTACAGTAAGCCTATTGTTGTGCTGTTCTGAGTGTAACATAGGTCAGATCATGACCCTTGACACGGACATGGCTACAGTAAAGTCTGAGACAGCGCCAGCATTAGACTCATCCACAGGGGGCAGTACTCTCCCATGATGCCACCTTGTCAGGAATTCTGACTTGAACTTGATCATGCTGGGTGACCAGCAGGGGGGAGTGTTTCTCTGAAAATTTGTTTATTGGTTTGGAAAAGAATGGATGACTTAACCCAGGTCTACTTATTATCTGCTCAAAATTAAAGAATACTGTTTATTTCACCTTAGTGCTACAGGGATTGTCAGATACCCCTAGAAATTAAAAGGATGAATTTTTAATTGCCGAGGCTTAAACTTTCTACGAAACATCAGTCTTTAAAATCTTAACATATGTACAAAGTAACATAAACCAGGTTCAAATTGCTTGGTTCTAATGAGTATGACCTCATTTCTTTAAGGTTTTTTTTTTTTTTTTTTTTTTTATGGACAGATATTTTTGTGTGTGGGTTTTTTGTTTTGGGGGAGTCTTTTTGAAATGAAAGTTTCCTTTCTTCATGAATAAAATAATGGAAACTAAGGGAATGCTGTGCTTCATATAATGTGGGAAATAACATTTTTCCACAGCTTTAATCAGAAATTGAGTTTTGCTCTTAGAAGATTGAATTCTTCTTAGGAGCCATTCCATTCCCAGGAACCTGTCCAATAAATACCAGTTTCAAGATGATTCTTGTTTTAGGTACTGGTAATAGGCCAGAGTGGACATAGACTTTGTTTAAATTAAATTAAACTTAAATTTGAGGGGTAGAAGCTGCAGTCACACCGATGAAAACTGGACGGAGGACATAGCCGCCGAGGAAGGCTGAGGATGGTGAGGCCCCCTGTAGTGAGCTTGGTGTGAAAGTAATCGCCCTCTTTCTTCTTCCTTAATGTTGGTATTTATGGAATGAGTGAAATAACTCAGTGGTATGTTGCAGGGATAATCTAGGGCCATACCTAGCTCTGAAACACTTAGCACAATCTGTTGTTTTTGAGAACACGTCACGTTGAGTCATCAGATAATGCTAGTTAAATGTGTATTTCTGGGTGGATCGTAAACAGTGTTTATTGACAGTAATTTATTGCGGCTGTTAAACTTTTTATGTTAATATATTTGTCCCACACTTCTGAGATTTGTTCTTTCATCAATTTCTCTTTAGAACTGATTTCAGTGTTTAATCAAAGCTCACAAGCCCAAGGATGTTGCACATTTTATTGCCAGTCCTGCGGTGAAGTCGTAATAAGGAACAGGTAAGGAATGTATTTTACACTGATTAATTCTGTGCCTGGCAATGGTTTTCTTCTTTTCTATCAGAATTTTTGAAGTAATTACCAGGGGAGCTGTATATGGCCTTAAAATGAGAGCCAGCTTAATGTCACTTTGAGCAAAATCAACCCTAAAACTCTCCAGCAATCATAGAGCAGTTAGACCTTCTAAAGGTGACAAAGGGGAACATAGCATGCTGGCTTTGAGGGAGGAAGGCTTATCTTGATGGAAGCCTGTGTTGATCACCGAAGCATGTCTCTTCTGAAGAGAGGGACTCTGGTGCATGTTTTATCCATCATGTTGGTGAATGAGATTTCTTCCACAATAAGTGAATTTTCTAAATCCCAGAGGCTCTTGCAACACAACTTTTTATTTGAACTATTTCTGTTAGTCCCTTTCTAAAATCCATTTCCTATTTCCCTGTTTATTAAAACAGAGCATACAGAGCACAAATTAACCTTTTCTTGATGATTAGGTTAATCTTATTACCTGTTCTTGCAGTGTGCTGTGATTACTCTCTTGAGATGGCAAAGGACCCTTTGTATTCCCAAGGTGTCTCTTTTATTATTTTTTCCATCTTCTCCTTTCCTTCTGTCATCCTACTTATTTCCTGGGCACAAAGCCTTTCCCCTGAATATTCAGTTTCTAATCACTCATAGGTTGGAAAGACAGATCAAAACCTTACTGTTGTTAACAGTCCTTACAGAAAGAAGTTAGATTTCTTCATTAGATATATTTCCACTTAGCCAGGTGCCTGAGACTTATCTGGGGATGGATCCTTCTCCATATCTGAAACCTGCTCCTCTTTCAGTGTTCCTTGTCTCAATGAATGCCAGACCTCTACCTGCAAAGAGCTTCCTCTCTCCCCTGGGGTGTGCCTCATACTCCCTCTCTCCCTCTGGTTAGGTCCTACCTGAATTCATCTGACAGGGTATCTATTGCCAGGAGCCTTCCCCGCGCCCTGGGTTGGTTTATGTGCTCCTCCAAGGTTTATTTGCCTGTTTTCCCAATTGAGCTGTAGGTTCTGGGGTTGGAATAGTCTTACTGACCTATATCCCTTATCCCCACTCATATTTAGAGTGCAATGTAGGGTAGCGACTAGTGGTATAGACTCAGAAGCCAGACTGTCTGGTTTGCATCCACCATTTACTAGCTGTGACTCTGGGCAAGTTACTTAATTAACCACTTCATGCCTCAATTTCCCTATTACAAAAGTATAGATGACAATAGGAGCTACCTCATGGGGTTGTTTAAGGGTTTATAGCAGTGCCTGGCACATGGTAGGCATTCAGTATATGATGGCTACCACTATAATTATTATTTTTATCATTCCTAGCATCATCACCATCAGCCCCAGAATCAGGCCACAGTGCCTGAAGAATAGTGTACTCTCAATAAATTCTTCCTGGGTTGAATTGAATATAAACAGTAGGGTGCTTATTTTGGCCTCCCACCAGCCTTTCTTGCTTACTTTCTGATTGGCAGTGCCCCAGGTAGATGAGATCATGGAAAGTTACCCTAGTATAAGTGGGGGGATTGTGAATGGAGCACCTCCAAATGATTATCTTGGGTAAGAGATGAGGTGACTAAATCCACAGGAGAGAGGAGAATGTCCTTGGTCAGATTACCTACGGGCTGAAGTTGCTGCAGAGTATGCAGTCCGTGACAGACCTACTGTAGCCTGAAATGTCCAGAGGATTCCAATTTGCATTGTAGTTAAACCCAGAAACTTCTTCTCTCAGTCTATTTCAGGCTTTGGTTGAATTTTCACACGAAGTTTCTGAAACATGCATGCCTCTACAACAATGGGATGACTTAGAAGTCACAGGAAGAGCAAGTTAAATGCAGTGTAGTCCTATTTCCTGGTACTACTCCCTGTAAAGGATATGCTCATCCATTATTGGCTGATATTTGTGTTTCATTGGAAAGGATGATGATATAAAAAATGGTTACCTGTAGTGATTTTTCCTATGCAGGAACTATATCTTCTGTTTTGTGTCAATTCTTTTTTTTTTTTTTTTTTAAGATTTTATTTATTTATTTGAGAGTGAGAGAGAGAGAGAGCACAAGAGAGGGGAGAGGGAGAGGGAGAAGCAGACTCCCTGCTGAGCAGGGAGCCTGATGCGGGACTTGATCCCGGGACTCCAGGATCATGACCTGAGCCGAAGGCAGTTGCTTAACCAACTGAGCCACCCAGGCGCCCTGTGTCAATTCTTTTTCTGATCGTGGAACTGAGAACCAGAAGAAGGGCTCACCTGGAAGGACAGTTTCAGTCTCCCTGACCGTGACCCTCTGGAGGCTGTGTGGTGTAAAGCAGGAGTGGGAGAATGGGACCTTGGGTTGGAACTCCAGCTTCACCACTTAGTAGCTGGGGAACCTTGTCCATGTCACCTCAGCTGCTGCTTAAGTAGACATAAGGAGTCTTCTTAGACATGTCAAGAGACAGGATCTTGGTGATGGAGAAGACTTCAGAGCTTATTTAGGCCTAACTCCCATTCTAAACAGGCACCCTTTATTGGATTTCTTCCTCTTCTTTGTAAAAATTCAAACCTGACCTATCACTTTACTGCTTAAAATTCTATAATGCTTCCGATTTGTGTTTCTTCTTAAGTAGACATAATAAGGCCTATTTTCCAAACTTGTCAGAAGAGTTAAAGGCTGTCATATATATAATAGCAAAAGCTTGACAAGCTCTTTTTAATTGGTTTTATAGACTCCTTCCACCCCCTTTTCCATGTTGGTCTTTATTAGCAAACTAGCAAATGATCTTGTTTAGTGTGTCAAGTCTTTTTGATTCAGGACTCTATTTTTGAGGGGTGCCAGGGAAATGACCCTCCTTTCTCCCTTTTTCTTTCTGAGAAGATAAACATGGACTTGACTTAGCCCTTGCCTCGCTTAAACAAGGTTTACCTGGAAGCCTTTTCCTGTCACACCTGTGTGTCTGGCAAGCGTATGCCTCTTGAACAATGCAGAGAAATCCTTAGTGGGAAAGTCAAGGCTTTACTGACATTTCACTCTTAGGCAGCATGCCCCATGCCTGTTTGTTGGAAAAACAAGCATCCTCCAGTATCTGCACAAGGATTTCATGTTGACTTTTTATATTAAACCCAATGGTCTTCTCATTTCTCACTCAGTTATCTGTGGGTAGTAAGGACATCTTTTATGCTTGTTAAATAGAAAACAAAACCAAAAGAGGCTTGTATGTTCTATAATCAAAACCAACTAATTGTAAGCATCTTTTCCAGGAGGGTGTCTTGGGATAGGTTGATTTATCTGTACTGGGAACTCTTCTAATAAGAGGAGGGAGAAGAGTGAAGATCTGCTTAGTGGCTAGCCTTATTATATGGGAATAAGTAAGTCACTTTAATTTTCTAGGCCTCAGTTACCTTATCTGTAAAATGAGGAGTTGGATTAGATACAACTATGGGAGTCCTACCACCAGAAAATTCTGTGATTAGTGAACCTCATAAAGTTGTACCTTGGGTTCTGTGATTCATGGTCATTTGGGTAGTGCAAGACTAATCCTTGTTCCTTTTTTTCTTTATTGAAAAAATTTCTCATAAAGCAAATTATAGAAATGAGGTGCAGAGGACTCTTTAATCTATTAAGACTCATTAATGGCTTTTAATACCTATTAGAATCAAGGTGCATGAAATCTGCTAATTATTAAGCAGTCTTTTTCTTAATTTAGGAACATGTGATCTTAGCCATTTGTTTTGGTTATTTGAAAATAAATAATGCTTCATTTCCTTGCCATAAAATTCTCCAGTTTACATTTTTACCAGTTCAGAGTATTTGTGTAAAAATTGTCTGACCAGGGGCACCTGGATGGCTCAGTCACTTAAGCATCTGACTCTTGATTTCGGCTCAGGTCATGATCTCAGGGTCTTGAGATCGAGCCCCACATCGGGCTCCACACACAGCATGGAGCCTGCTTGAGATTCTCTCTCTCCCTTTCCCTCTGCCCCTTCCCCTGCTCTCCCTCTCTAAAAAAAAAAAAATTGTCTGAACATACACAGTTTTTGGTTATGCTATTGATTATGCTCTTATTGAGACTAACAGGCCCTAATATCAAGTAACAATAATGACAAAATTTACTTTTTTGAAAATAGTCTCAGAAACAGCTGAATGGTCATCATGTTTAGAATTTGTTTGTATCTCCTAGGAATAAATTCATGCCAAACTTGAGTTATATCAGTTGGCCAAACAGACTTTCAAACATAAAAGCTTTTGATTTTCTGTCCATTTGCGAGGTCTCCTAAGGTCTCTGGACAGGCCTTCCTCATTCCACCTGCACCAGCAGAGCTGGGTGTTAGCCCAGCAGTTAAGGGAGGCCTAGGAAACTCTAGAAGGAAACAAGTAGAATGGACTTTATGGAAACATAAGAGATGTCAGAATATCCAACCAGTTGGTCCACTTGACAGACCAGCTATAATTAGAGTCTGAAAATAACTACTCTGAATGCAGTCACTTTTCTCTGAAAGAGAACAAAGAGGCGGAAAAAGGGTACAGGCACAAATTGGATTGTTGGTAATATTGTACAAACTTTTGGAAAAAAAAGGATGATACTTTTATGGTCTAACTGTACTATGTACATAATGGTAATAAGATGCAAAGCTTGGTTCATAGGATTTGTCGTCTACCAGTTGGATATTACCAGTTGAGTTTACCTAAATTTTGGCAGCCATATTTTGAACTTTAGATGTTTGATGTTGTTCTTAATGTTCTTAACGTCCACTTGGTTATAATCCAATCTGTAAAAGCTCGATGTTATTACCATTGTTATTGTCACTGAATTTTAAAGTTCAGGGGCATTCATTTTCTTGTCTACATATTTAAGTTTTGAATAATCGTCATCAAGCAGTAGTATTGATTAACATTGTGTATTTTATTTGTCCCTAAAGCTTGTGGTTAAGATGCATTAAAAATAACTAGCAAAGTTTAATTTATTATAAATTAACATTTATTATAATTTATTATAAAT